ATGTATGTATCATTTTTTGTTGTTCATCTAAAGCTTTTTAATCCAAATAAATACAGAGTTTGCAAAGTGATTTGGATTAACCAGGTTTGGTTGTTCTGTTAAAGTTGTGTCAGATGTTAATTTCAAGCAGGTTTAACTCCTGCAAGCCCTGATTTTATGCTGACGAGGATGGTGACTGCCAATTTAAGAGACTAAAGCTCCACAGGTGGAGATGAAAGTTAGTGTCCAGACCTCTGGTTCAGGGCTCAGGCTGCATTAACACAGAGCCAAATTTAGTCAGACTGCAGCCTGAAGTGCCCCACGCCACGCCTCAGGCTGGCAGTCAAGGAATTCCTACATGTCCTCAGCATGGGCAGAAATGCAGGTTGAAATTAAAATTGGAGAGTTACTGAGGGCGGAAAGTGAGGAAAGCATGTCCTCTATCATAAAGCAGTAGAGCCCACTTCAAATAGCTTGTCTGTGGCCAGAAGAAACAGGTGGCCCAGGTGTCTTTAACGTCTTTATAAACTCTTAAAACATGACCACGCTTTTAATAGAAAGTGTTGGTAAAGTCAACCAACTGTTTTCCTCTAATATCACTTTGCAAATCCCTGTGGTTCTGTTCTCCTGAATTTAGGATAGTACCGCCATCTGTGCCCCGAGCATCTTTTGAACAATCATTGATGTTTAGCTAGACATCCCATCTGAACACTGAGCATACAAATATTGCTATTACTCTGTTACTTTTTTGTTTGTTTGTTTTGTTTTGAGACAGAACCTCACTGTCACCCAGGCTGGAGTGCAGTGGTGCAACCTCGGCTCACTGCGGCATGCGCCACCATGCCTGGCTAATTTTTGTATTTTTAGTATAGAGACAGGGTTTCTCCATATCGGCTAGGCTGGTTTCGAACTCCTGGCCTCAAGTGATCTGCCTCCCTCAGCCTCTGAAAGTACTAGGATTACAGGCATGAGCCACCGCGCCCAGCCTACTCTGTTCCTTTTTAGCCTGGAAGTATGCTAGGTCCCTGAATGAAAGTTCAGAACTAAACGAATTAATGGACTGTCCCTTTTCCCTGTTTTGGCTATTTCATGGTATTTATATCTTGCAGATAGCACATAAATGAGACAAGAAACTCCAGATTTAATACATGTGTGAAGACTAAGTACTAATATGCTTTACTAGGAGATAAATTACTTTGGAAAACAACAGGGTCCAACAGAGAGAGAGAAAGAGAGTGTGTGTGTGTGTAATTTTTTTTTTTTTTTTTTTTTTTTTTTTTAGATAGAGTCTCGCTCGTCACCCAGGCTGGAGCGCAGTGGCGCGATCTCTCCTCACTGCAAGCTCCGCCTCCCGGGTTCAGGCCATTCTCCTGCCTCAGCCTCCTGAATAGCTAGGACTACAGGCCCCTGCCACCACACCCGGCTAATTTTTTTGTATTTTTAGTAGAGACAGGGTTTCACCGTGTTAGCCAGGATGGTCTCAATCTCCTGACCTCGTGATCCATCTGCCTCGGCCTCCCAAAGTGCTGAGATTACAGGCGTGAGCCACCGCGCCTGGCTAAGAGCATGTTTTTTTTAAAGAGAGTTAATTCAGTGTGAAAAATTTAAACACACACAAAAAACGGAGATTAAATATCACATCAGGGATGTAGGTAAGACTTCCAAAATAGAACTGCTAGATGAACAAAAATAACTCATTTATTCGCTTTTTTTCTTTCTTTTTGTTTTTGGGCTGTAATACTCTTTTACCATTATTAGGTACTTTCTCTATCAATTCAGATGATAAAGTGACATTCCAAAGCCCATGTTTTTTCCCCAACACCACAGTGGAGGTGGAGTTCTAGCAATAAATCCTAACCAGGTTTTCAGCATTCTGAAATAAGTATCGTTCTTGAAATTTATTAAAATTTATGCCCTGTAGTTTACAGTTGGTGGTACTGCAATTCTTTTCACTTTTTTTTGTTTGTTTGTTTTTTGGAGACAGGGTCTCACTCCATTGCCCAGGCTAGAGTGCAGTGTTGGGATCACACTTATTGCAGTCCTGACCTCCTGGCTCAGGTAAATCTCTCACCTCAGCCTCCCAAATAGCTGGGACTATAGGTGCACACCACCAGGCCTGGCTAATTTTTTGTACTTTTTGTAGAGACAGTTTCACCATGTTGCCCAGGTTAATCTTGAACTCCTGGGCTCAGGTAATCCTCACACCTCAGCCTCCCAAAGTGCTGGGATTATAGACATGAGCCACTACTCTTGGCCTCACTTTAAGTTCCCTTAAATAGTTCAGTGTCTGATAAGTAGGATAGAGTCATATTCCTAGTAGGAGAGTTAAAAATATTTTTGAGGCCAGGCGCGGTGGCTCAAGCCTGTAATCCCAGCACTTTGGGAGGCCGAGACGGGCGGATTACGAGGTCAGGAGATCGAGACCGTCCTGGCTAACACGGTGAAACCCCGTCTCTACTAAAAAAATACAAAAAACTAGCTGGGCATGGTGGTGGGTGCCTGTAGTCCCAGCTACTCTGGAGGCTGAGGCAGGAGAATGGCGTAAAACCCAGGAGGCGGAGCTTGCAGTGAGCTGAGATCTGGCCACTGCACTCCAGCCTGGGCAACAGGCTATTTTTTTTTTTTTTTTGCGGGAAAATTAAAAGCTTATATACCTTAACTGAGTGCAGTGGCTCATGCCTGTAATCCCAACACTTTGGGAGGCTGAGGTGGGAGCACTGCTTGAGCCCAGGATTTTGAGACCAGCCCAGTTAACACAGCAAGACTCTGTATCTACAAAAAATTTAAAAATTAGCCAGGCATGGTAGCTAGCTAGTCCCAGCTACCTGGGAGGCTGAGGCAGAAAGATCGCTTGAGCCCAAGAGTTCAAGGTTGCAATGAACTATAATCATGCCACTGCACTCCAGCCTGGGTAACAGTGAAACCCTATCTCAAAAAAAGCTTGCTTGCACCCTGGCTAACAAATGAGTTCTCACTCACAGCATCCAAACTAATATGCTCTGAAAACCTGCCTACATTGAATACAATAATTGCTTTGGTAGTCTACCTGCCTAAAAGTCAGTTGTCCAATCTTTTTTTTTTTTTTTTTTGAGATGGAGTTTCACTCTTGTTGCCCAGGCTGGAGTGCAATGGTGCAATCTCGGCTCACCGCAGCCTTTGCCTCCCAGGTTCAAGTGATTCTCCTGCCTCAGCCTCCTGAGTAGCTGGGATTATAGGCATGCACCACCACACCCCGCTAATTTTATATTTTTAGTAGAGACGGGGTTTTTCTGTGTTGGTCAGACTGGTCTCAAACTCCTGACTTCAGGTAATCTACCTGCCTTGGCGACCCAAAGTGCTGAAAGTACAGGTGTGAGCCACTGCACCCGGCCTTTTTTTTTTTTTTCTTTTAATAGAGACGGAGTTTTGCCCAGGCTGGCCTTGAACTCCTTGCCTCAAGCAATCCTCCGGCCTGAGCGTCCCAAAGTGCTTGGATTACAGGCTTGAGCCACCAAGCCTGGCCATCATTTTCAAAGTCTGTTGTCCTTCAATAAATTAACATTCTAATGGAAAGAAGAAAAAGAAAGAAATGGAGAGGAAAGCCCTAGGGAAGGCTAACACAAAATTCAGTCTAATGGTTCTCTGGGGTAGAAGCGGGGGGATGGGCAAGGGAATGAACCCACAGCAGACACAGAAGTTAGCCAATGGTTTTATTAGTGTTTACTGTTCTTTGTAAAAGGTATGATATATTTTCTATATGTACCAAACTCCTAAAACAAGGTGGATTAGGGCAAACATGGAATATGGCCATATAATTGAGAGAATCGTACTATACTTTTTATACAGCAGTCAAGTCACTAAAAATGGTTTATCAGGTTAGGTTTACCAGGAATCCTAGATGACACAACTGGGCATGAGAATATGATGAACCACCGTCCTCTCCCTGGTAGTAGAGGTCATTATTGGCCTTTCACATTCAAGCCATCTCCCAGCTGTGACTCTGGGCTTGCTGTACTGTAGTGTAGGTAGTGCTTTAATGAGATGTGAGTAGTTAATGGTTCTTCTTTACTGAATTGGTTCTAACATAAGTGGACTAAAATTAGGAGAAAAATCTCTAGAAAAAATTAGGAGATATGTTTATGGCAGAGATCATTAACTTGAGGATACCCTGTGGCCTTAAGCATCAGCTTTATTCTCGTGCAATAGTTAGAAACTATTCTGAAACTTAGTCTTTAGTATGTAGATATTTTCTTGCTTGAAATGATGTTAGATGTGGTTACGCAAGCATGGAATGGTGTCTGCTTTTTCTACCAGGCTGATCCAAACTTACACTGGGTCAAATTGCCAAATCACTCAACAGACTGAGCCTCTGATTTAGCTCAAGTCTGGGATTGCCTTATGCGGTGTAGGTTCACTTTCTCATGGAAGGAGCAACTGTTTCTAGCAGCTGAATGGAAGAGCAGCATCTTCATCATAGAGTAGCGTAAAACCTGTTGCCCAGAGTCCTCATGAAGGTCCAGTCCTCGCAATTTAGTGGAGCCAAGTGAGGGAGGAGCATATTTCTGTTCATTGAGAAATGCGTAGTCAATCAGGAATTTCCACCACCCTAGCAAAAAGTTTATAGTCTAGTAGCTGGCAGAAATATAACCTGCATAATTATCCTGGCTTAAATGATCTTGCAATAGAGAATGTGTCCATAATTTAATTTGAATTCTGCAAAAAAGTAAATAAGGTTATCATTAGTTGCCTAAAAACAAAGTTGCCGAAAACAATTCGGGCTTCACTGAAAAGCATCCTGATTGATCCTTGAATTGTTTTAAGAAATATTTCATGGACTAGATTCATCGAGTGAGTGTTTTAGGAGGAAATAATTTTCCCACAAGTGTTGTCCTGCAGTGACTTTGGAAGTACTCAAGTAGAGACAGAACTATAAAAATTCTTTGCAAAGACAGTTATTGGAATATTGTGCAGCTGATCAAGGACAAGCTGTGTCAGAACAAGAGATCTGAAAAGTACATTTTAAAAGGCACTGAAACCAATAGTAAAAATTCATATTGACTTTATTGACTGCTGAAGTTCAGTCTCATTCATCTTCCAGCCTTCTCTGATACTGTCTTTCTGAGGCTTTTCTACGGTAGACATCATCTGTATCAAACAAAAAGTTGCTTAGATTTTTAAGAAACATATTTAAAATTAAAACAATCTGAGTAATTTAACCAACAGTCTAGGTCTGTCACCTACTTCTGAATCTTGGCATTAATATTTAACTCAATGCCAAAATAAACTTAAAACTTGAGTTAGATGAGGACTATGATAATGGAGTTCTAGACTTAGAGTAAAAGTCAGTGTCTTGAAAGATAGAATCACGTCTTAGCACATCTCTTAGTGTTTTAAGCTTTCCCTCACTTCCTTCTCCCCCATAATTTCTATTCTGTGCTCTGAAGTCATCCTTCTTAACTAAAACCTGGCTCCTCAAAGGCACTTCTTGCCTCTTGGCTCTCTGATGCTCCCTCTCCCATACCCAGAAACCTTCAGGTGGGGAGAGGAGATCAGTTTCCTTGTTCCAGCTGCTGCTTTGCCAGACCTTTGATTCTCCACCTTCATGTAAAGAATCTTCTTCCAGGCCGGGCACAGTGGCTCATGCCTATAATCCCAGCACTTCAGGAGGCCAAAGGTCAGGAGTTTGAGACCAGCCTGGCCAATATGGTGAAACCCCGTCGCTACTAAAAATACAAAAATTAGCCGGGTGTGGTGGCAGGCACCTATAGTCCCAGCTACTCGGGAGGCTGAGGCAGGAGAGTCGCTTGAACCCAAGAGGCAGAGGTTGCAGTGAGCCAAGATCGTGCCCCCACACTCCAGCCTGGGCGACAGAGCAAGACTCTCTCTCAAAAAAAAAAAAAAAAAATCTTCTTCCTTCATGGCTCATGCCATTTGTCTACCAACATCTTTCTTTGGCACCTGCTCTCCATCATGCCCCTTCAGTCACCAAAAGTGCTGGCCTCTAGCTCAGGTTCCTTGCCCCTGTCCTGTGCCTTCTCCCCAGATACCACTCTTACCCATGGGGATGAAGCTTACCCAGCCCCCTTCACCTTCAACATCTTCCAGTCATTTGCAGGGCTCCTCTGAAGGATTTCTGTTCATACCACAACCCCCATTACCTTTCCAGCCCTCCTGTCCTTGGACCTCAGGTTTCTTCCCCAGGCCTTCCGCCCCTGTCTTCCCCACTCAGCTGCCTCTTGTTCTCTCTCCTGGCAAATCAGCTAAAATTCTTTCATACTCTTGTCAGTATCTTAACTTCCTGACACAACCTCAAAACCCCAACCACTGATTAATCCAACTTCCTCCCTTCCCCATGCTTCACCCTGCTTGCTGTGCACTGAGGGGCCAATTGATGCCTCTAACTGGGTCCATTGAGGTGTCTGACAATCCTGTTTCCTCAGCCATGATCCTGACTCTTCTTCACCCACCCCGTAATGGCCATTTCCTCTATTCCTTCACAGAGGAAAGTCATCATAAGGAACTCTTCCAGCTAACTTCCAAGGGCTTACTCCTGTCACCCAGCTCTGGTCCCACCCTCTCCCACCCTCAAGGGTCCAGTATCTCCAGCCTCTCTCCACCCTCTCCTTCTAGATCATTATTTGTATATCCTGCAGTTTCTCCTAGAGGAAGGGGGTTACCTCCCCTTCACAGAGCCGGACTTCTTTAACCTCTTTTCTTTTGTGATAACAAATCTTCCTGGTTTCCTTCCTTGCCTCTCTGGCCATTCTCAGTTACCCTTAAAATGTTGGGGTTTGGGCCAGGCACAGTGCTCACACCTGTAATCCCAGCACTTTGGGAGGTCAAGGTGGGCAGATCACCTGAGGTCACGAGTTCAAGACCAGCCTGACCAACATGGAGACACCCCATCTCTACTAAAAATACAAAATTAGCCGGGTGTGGTGGCGCATACCTGTAATCCCAGCTACTCCAGTGGCTGAGGCAAGAGAATCGCTTGACCCTGGGAGGCAGAGGTTGCGGTGAGCCGAGATCGCACCATTGCACTCCAGCCTGGGCAACAAGAGCAAAACTCGGTCTCAAAAAATAAATTAATTAAATTAAATTAAAATGTTAGGGTTTGGCCGGGCGTGGTGGCTCAAGCCTGTAATCCCAGCACTTTGGGAGGCCGAGATGGGCAGATCATGAGGTCAGGAGATCGAGACCATCCTGGCTAACCCGGTGAAACCCCGTCTCTACTAAAAAATACAAAAAACTAGCCGGGCGAGGTGGCGGGCGCCTGTAGTCCCAGCTACTCGGGAGGCTGAGGCAGGAGAATGGCGTAAACCCGGGAGGCGGAGCTTGCAGTGAGCTGAGATCCAGCCACTGCACTCCAGCCTGGGCGACAGAGCAAGACTCTGTCTCAAAAAAAAAAAAAAAGTTAGGGTTTGACTTCCATCACAATTTGCTTGCAAATGGTTCACGAATCCCAATTTCTGGCCCAGATTTGCCTCCTGAGCTTCAGCTCTGTATAACCATATCTACTTCATCACGTCCCAGATGGTGCCCAGGATGGCCCTGCCTGTGTTCTGCACCTTCAGGAAATGCACCACCCCTGCCCCAGGTGTCCCACCAGAAGCCTCCACTCCTCATCTCCTGAGTCCACTCAATCACCATGCCCTGTCAGTACTACCTCTGGGCTGTCTCTTACTTCCACCCCTTCCTGGCATCCTTTCTGCCCCAACCTAGACCAGGCCACCGTCTCAACTCTAGACAGCCATACAGCGTAACTGTTCCTACCAATCTGTCCACAAGGAGCCATTCTCCACATGTTAAATCCTGTCCTTAAAATGAATCCTTGGGATCCATTCCTGATTCTGCAGTCCCTTTGCCACCCTGCCCAGGCACCCTTCTAGCCATCCCCACTTTGTTCATCTGCTTCAATCCCTCAAACACACAGCATACTCTCACACAAGTGCTCCTACCACTGCCATGGAGATGCTTTCAATTCCACACACCTTCCCCTCATCTGACTGACACCTACTCAGTCTTCAGGTCCTACTTTACTTGGTAGCTGCTTCCTGAAGCCTTCCCTGCACCATCTAGTCCAGTTGATGCGCCCAACCGAGATTCCTATGTTCCTCCCACTTCCTTCTCACAGCACTGATCACTGCGTGTGGTAACTGTCTTTATCATCTTCTTTCCCATTAGAGCTCTTCTGGGGTAAGGGACACCTCTGCCTTTTTCATTACAGCCCCTCAAGAATGTTCATTAAGTATCAATGAATGGATGAATAGAAGGACTAAGGATCTTTAGGAATCACTAACGTAACAATTCTTTAAAATGTGGGTTGGCAATTCACAAACGATAGCGTTTCAGGAGAGGGGCAAAGCAGAAAGGGCCGAGGGGTTGGGGAAGTCCTGAAAGGAACTGGCCTGTCCAGAGTTAATGCTCAGTAATGCAGAGCCAGGCATTACCACTGTCTTTACAGTACTGATCATCTGGACCCAGACCAAAGACCTGGTGCCAATGACTGCCCTGTAAAGGCAGTGGTAAATAGCAAAGTCAGGCAGATCAGCTCCCTCTAGAGTTTGGACAGATGAGTCCAAAGTGAAATGGCTATTTAGCAGGAGTTTCCCTGACCCCTCATATCCACCCCCTTCTACGATTGTTGTGAGCAAGTCTGTTCCTTAGGCGATGTCACCGGCACGGGTGAAGGGCAGGCGTGAGAGGGCTGGAAGCACGTGATCTCGCCTCTAAGTGCAGGGAAGGTCGCAAGGTTGGACGCCAATGTGCCCGGCCTACAAGAGAGCCAGGCCGCCCTGACTGCCAAGCGAATGGAACTGCACTTGTCCAGCGTTCTGAGTGGAATGCGCACTTTGCAATCTGAGAATACTTCCCAGAAAAACGGATCCCTACGCCTCCTGCCTTCCTGAAAGCAGAGACTGCTACCCCCTCACTTACAGAAGGTCTCCTGGCCTACGCGCACTTTAATCATGATCCACTCCATCGTTCCTCCCAGGACAAAAAAGAAGGGCAGGAACCGGTAGATGCCAAGTCGCTGCTTCCCGGGCACCCGCTGCAGAATCCGTCTCACCTGGGCCCTGGTGAACATGCTCGACCGAGGTCGTGGAGATGGGTATGGCGGAACTACGCACTGGATCACCCGGACGCAGCCAAGGCCGCCCCGCCCGTACTCGCCGTGTACGGCGGCCTGGGTTACTAACGAGCGCTGTATGGTACGCGTACGAGTGCCGGAAAGCTGGGCGCCGACCTCCTAAAGCAAGGCGGATCCACCAATCAGAATGCAGCGGGGGGCGTGAGGTTCCGCCAATCAGAGTACGCAGGGTGCGCGTGCTCCCTGAAGCCGAGCAGGGCCAGAAGCTGCTGGCGCAGGCGCCTCAGCTCTGGAGGTGGGGCTGCCCAAAAGGGAAGGGCAGCCCACGTGGCGTCGGCCCGGCCCCGCCCTCTGCCTCCCCAGTGGGGGTCTGAACTCGGAGCTGGCAGCCGCGCCCCCCTACTCTGCCACCGCCATTTTTATTCCTAATACCCAGAGAGAAGTGATAACCCTCTCGGATGGACTACGTACAGCACCACATTCCAAAATGCAATTATGCAATGCCTTGCGTTTATTTCGGAGATGTGATTGGTGCCTAGACTTCTGAAGTAACAGAATTTGATATGGAGTGTTGAAAGCTGAACTTTATCAATGATCACAGCAAAAATCTAAGTAAGCGCTGCGTGAGATACCTAAAATTAATAAAAGCTATGTTGTATGGGGCACTTACCGTTCTACAGGAACTTGTAGGTGCTTTATTCACAACAATCGCAGAAGGGCAGGATAGTTAAAGAGCATGCGCTCTGTTATCAAACCACATCCCTGCTCTACAGGTGCTCCCTTAGCCCATCTGTGCTTCAATTCCCTAAGCCGTAAAACGGAGGCCTTGTTCTGACGGTGTGAGAATGTAGTGCGGTAATAGGAATGAGGCACTGAACACAACCCTGGAGCATAGTAACTGATTAACATTAGTTAGAATATTCACTATGATGATAATGATTGGCAGAGCTCTTCCCATGTATTCCCAAATATGGTTTTTGTTTGTTTTTTGAGACAGGATCTCACTCTGTCATCCAGGCTGAAGTGCAGTGGCGCAGTCTCGGCTCACTACAAACCCCTCCTCCTCTGCTCAAGACATCCTCCCACCACTACAGGGGCGCACCACCACACCCGGCTAATTTTTTAATTTTTTGTAGAGACGGGGGTCCCACTATATTGCCCAGGCTGGTCTCAAACTCCTGGGCTCAAGAGATCCTCCTGCCTTGGCCTCCCAAAGTGCTGTAATTACAGGCATGAGCCACCGCGCCCAGTCTGAACGTGTATTCTTTACATGTATTCTCTTAATTGACTAAGAGGCTATGCCAGATAGAAGCAGGGCTCTGACTTAAGAGACTTCACTTGTCATTGCGTCCTCTCATGCTGCTGTGCTTGCTGAAGATAACTGAAGGGGGCTGTCACCCCATAACCTAGAACTAAAATAAAAACTGCAGGAACAGCTTTGAGAAGGGAGACAACTATTAGACAATCTAAGGAAGGTAAATGAAAGCTTAGAACCAATGAGACGATTTGGTGATATGGACACAAAATATACAAAAGCAGACTGGAGAGAGCAAGCAGCGCCCCAGAAAGGGTCATAGGGCCCGCAGTGAGTAGCCTGAGCTGCCGCCTGTACAACCGGCTTTGGAGGGCCAGCCCGGAAGCCTCTTCTCCGGGTTGACTCCACCCAAGCATGCACACACACAGGCTTGATGCTCGCTCCCATTTCTACAGGAGGTTTTGACGGCTGGACGCTGCAGAGCATCCCCTCGTCTGGAGAGGTTCACGTGTGGCCAGGTTCCCAGCACACCCACTAGTTCAGTGGGGCCCTGGGGGCACCGCCACACTCAAGCCCATCCTATGGCCTCAATCCTTACCAGTCCCCAGGCCATGGACTGCCACACTAGGTCTTCAATCAAGGTTCAGTGGAGTTTCGAATGTACACACACCCTGAAAGACAGCGAGGCCACCTCAGAAAACAACGCGTGCCCAGCTGGCACCCCTTCGACAGGGCCCACGGGTGCTGGGTCGGCCTCCTCCGGACCCGGCACACAGCCTGGTGCGGGCTCGGAATACGGATCTGAGCAGAAGAAATGCGAGTGGAGAGCGGTTCTGCGCAGGAAAGAGGAATTTTGTTGGAAAGCCTGGCGACATTGCTAGAAAAGACCACAGCATCTCACGAGGGGCCTGCGTCGGGAAACCGGGGGTTGACGGGTGAGTGTGGCCACTTACCGAGGTCAGAAACAAGCAGGCGCAGTGACCGTGGCCCACAACCCTGCAGCGCACGGCCCAGTCACCTGGTTGAGTTAGAAGGGGTCACCCTAGCGGGAGAAGAGTCTGCCTTAGTGGACGTCGGCTGCCCTGCAGGCCTCTCGGCCTCCCCCAGCGTGGGCCTGGCACCGGGGAGCGCGGGAAAGGCTCTTTATTTGTTAGACCAGTGAGTGGACTGGCCTGGGCTCTGGTCAGTGGTCAGTCAGTCCGAGCCCGGAGACTGGGGACCAAGACCCCCGGAAAGGAGCGCACCAGGACTGGGGGGAGAGGCGGAGAATCTGGGGTCAAAAGCATCCAGAGGCGCAGGGTAGGGCAGGCGGACCCGGGAGCGGAGAGGGCGGTAGAGGACCTGGGGACGGGGGGGTGGGGGGGTGGGTACACGTCGCGCTCGGGCTGTCTCTGCTCGGCGCCTCGGCCGTCCGGAGCCTCGCAGGGACGGCCGCGCTTAGGCTCTCTGACATCCAGGGCTGGGGCCAGGGAAGGGCGCCGCCATCGCCGGCGTGACGGCCGAAGGGGGGCGCGGAGTCCTCCAGCGCCGCGCGGGAGACTGGGGGAGGGGGCTGGGGAGCCCGCCCCGCCCGGGCCGGCCAGACCCGGCCCGGCCCCTCCGGGTCCGGGGCCTCCCGCCCCACGGGCCGAGGGGCGCGCCCATTGGCAGGCCGGGCTCCGCGCGACGCACCCATTGGCCGGCCGCCGTGAGGAGCACGAGGCCACCGTGGCGGGCGCGCAGTCGGAGGGCGGCGGGCGGCGGGCGGCGGGAGGGCCAGGGCAGCGCGGGCGGCGGGCGGCGGGCGCCGGCGGCGCGCGGTGGGCATGGCGGGTGCGGGGCTGCGGGCGGTCGCTCGGCGCTGGCTGCTGTGCGGAGGCCACGGCGGGCCGCGAACTGCCTCGTCCTCGCCCTCCTGCCCTGGCTGCGGCCCCCCGGGTCCCGGCGCCCACTGCCCCGGCGCCCCGCGCTCCGCGCCCGCCCAGGCACCCGCAGGCGGCGCCGACCTCAGCGCGCACCTATGGGCTCGCTACCAGGACATGAGGAGACTGGTGCACGGTGGGTGAGCTGGGGCGGGACGTGCGCCAGGGTGTCTTCCGCGTGGACTGACTGACGGACCGAGCCCCAGGGCGCCGCTCCTCCGGGGAAGCACCCAGTGGGGCTCGCCGGGGCCGCGGAGCCCAAGGGCCAGGCTGCTTTTCGCGAGAAGGTCCGGCCGTTCATCCCGGGGGCCTCTGGGGCGCCCCGACGCCCGGGGGCGGGCGGGAGGTTTGTTCCCCGGCTCGGTCTGGGGAGTTCGGGGCGCCTTGAGCGGCTGCCGGAGTGCTGGGCCCCCGCCGTCTTCCTTCGGGGTCCCGCCCAACGGGAGGCCGCGGCGGAAACGCCCCCAACCCCTTGTTCTCGGCCAGCCCTTAGTTGGGGCGGGAGAGTGCTGTGGACAAAGCCAGCGAGCGGCGCCGGGCGGAACGGGCTCCTGGGGACGGCCGGACCAAAGGGGACACCGGTTGGACTTCCCAGACACACCTCGATGTCGCCCTGGAGGTCCGGCCCCCTCTCAGCACGGGAAGCGAAGACTGGGAGAAACCAAGTCACCCCCGCCCCCTGTAGCCCAGACTAGAGCTGCAAAGGGCACTTAACCTCCCTGTCCCTGCTCTCTCCCTCTGAGAAATGGCTTGAGGAGGCTGAGGCCCCTTCTTAGAGGGGGCCGGCTAGGGCTCACATGAGGCCCCAGAGCTGAGAGTGCTGGACATCTGACTGCTTGTCTTCCTGCGTCTAGTGGGGCCCTGCTTCTGCAGCAGACAGATGTGGTTTGGGTCGTGACCCTATCACTGAGCAGCTGGGTGGCCCCAGGCAAGCCTCACCCTCTCTCAAGCATGAAATGCAGTCCTGGGGCCTCTCTGTCCCAGGGTTGGGTGATGACTGGAACCAGGCCAAGTGGGGCAGGGGAGCTTCCGGAGGAACCCCCAGGGGTGACGTAGCTTTCATTGTCTGATAAGACAAAGTGGCCCTGTCTGGAAGATTCCAACTGGCTAGACAAGGGTTTTCACTCCGGTTTTGTGGGGTGGCTGAGAATCACTTCTTGACCAGTGAAGGCAGAATGGTAAAGGCCCCTGAGGAATGGTCATTTTGAAGCCTTGGGCATCTGTCCACCCTCGAGGTCCCGGGTTGAGTTTGTGTCTGTGGAGAGGCTGCCCAGTGTTATTTATGAAGTCTTTGCTCTGGGCCTGGAGAAGACCCTGTGAGTATCCTGAGAAGCCTGCCTTGGAGGTTTCAGGGAGGAGCACGGGGATCTACTGGACATTGTCCTCCTGGGCCTGTCTGCATCTTTGGAGCCTCACAGCCCTCTAAGCTCCTCTTGTCATACAACGAGCAAAGTCATTTCCACCAAGATCCCATGGTGAGCACCACAGGAGCCAGCTTCACACCTTTGGGCTAAAGGTCTGCTTTGGGCTAATGCCTATGGGCTAAGAGCAGCGCAGCATGTCCCTCAGTCCACCAGCCCCCACCCGCCTGGCCTCAGTGTGGTGACAGTGGGAGGCTAGGCTGAGAGGCAGAGTGATTAATGCAGGTGGGGTGACTTGAATGGTGATCGCAAACCCGGTGCCTGTTACTGGGTGGTTTCGAGCAAGTGACTTCACCTCCCTGAGCCACAGTTTCTTTCTCCGGACGATGGGGGAATAAGTGAGACTGCCTCACAGGGTGAGAGTGAGGATTGAACGAGACAAGCCTCTAAGACATCCACAAGTGTCATGGCTGCTAGGGAGCAGTTGGCCCTGGGAGCTAGAACCATGGGCAGGTGTGGGAGCTGGGGCTGAGGAGAAAGGAGGGCAATTGTTGGACATGCTGGGTGGGACACACCCTCAGCTGCCCCCCAACCCACACCACCTATGGAAGGGAACAGGCCGCTGTCACCCCAGAGCCAAGAATTTTCTAGT